CCCCTGACAACGAACAATTCCGCCGACCCCCCTGACCCTGTTGTTGTGGTCCAGGCCGAGGAGCTGTCGAAGCTGGTGCTATCCGCCAGCGAGGAGGTTAGCGCGGGTGCTGCTCGCAGGGCCAAGCTCAGGTCTGCCGCTTCCGCCGCCGTTCGGGTGCTGGATCTCCCGGACGAGGACATCGGGTCCGAGCTGGCCAGTCTCCTGAACGAGGTGCAGGAAACGTTTCGCTTTTTCGTCATGGGGGCGTGTGGCCGGGGTACATGCTTCGATTATATGCAGCAGCAGCAGCAATTGATCTGCGGGTTGTGGAGGCGTACCGTAAGAAATTTTGGTTGTCTTTCGTGGAGTTGTGTTTGGGTGGAAGACCTCACTGTTGATCGGTTTCTACCTTTTTGTGTGCGTGTTTGGGACGGTTTTTTTGTGTCGTTGTGCAAGCGTGTGTTACCGCGGTCGTCGCCAAAAAAATGAGCTCCTGCTTTTTTTTTTTTCGCGGAAACGAGAGAACGAGTGGTAATTTTCGCATCTACTTGTCTTGCCCGATGTACCAGACTATGGACTATTTCTTTTCTCATCCTAAAAGCAAGCATTGCTGTTGTTTATTTCTTTTTGCCGATTTGCGTCACCTCTTAGATTTTCCCTCGTGTTTCTGCCGTGCTGACACCCTCACCGCTCCTCCCTCCCAGTCCTCTGTCATCCGGCGATAATCCTCGTTTCTGTTGTCCGACTCGCTTGCTTGCCTGCCTCAAAACGTCGACGGGCGTTTGTGACCGTGTTGCAGTCGAAGTTCACTCTGCCAAGGGCCCTAAGTGGTGACGAAGAGATGGTGGCCCTTTCTCTCGGTGAGAATCAAGGGGGAATTAAGGGTGGGGGGACAGGCCCTGAACGGCAACGAGGAGATGCTGGCCCTTTCTTTTAGTGAAACTAGGGGCTAGGGGGTCCATTCTGGATGCTGTTGGCTCATTTTCTCTTGTTCCCTTTTTCTTTCACGCACTTGGATTGTTTGCTTGTGGTCATGGGCAAAGAAGCGGTGGCCGTAGTAAGTGTCTACCTCTGTGTGCGGCGGTACCTAACGTGTCCACCTCTCTGACATATCTTTGTTGAACCATCGGGTACCCCCCCCCCCCCCCCNNNCCCCCCCACACACACACACACACACACACACCGATTGTGTGGGCTGTCGAATTTCCGAAACACGCTTACTTTGCCACACCTCTAGTCGCTCGTTGTTCAGTGGCCAGCGAGTTCTGTACTCCCACCTCCCCAGGTCTTTATCCAACAATATGCGTATTGTCCATGAGGAGCGGCCTGCTGGGAGTAGGTGCTACTTTGAACACTGGACGGAAAACAATAAGCAGTCCGACATTGTGGCGACTTGAATTGTGGAACAGCCAATTATAGTGGCGTTATGTCTCTTGTCACAATCTCAACCCGATGTAGAGGCATTTTGCGGCTATGTTGTACGGGGCCCTCAATAGTGGTTTTGTTGGCATCTCAGCCCCCCCCCCCCCCCCCCCCCCCCCCCCCCCCCCCCCCCCCCCCCCCCCCCCCCCCCNCGCTGCGCACCAATCCACAAACAGCAAACACAGCAGCAGTAGGCGCCACACGTATTATGCCAGCATGCGCGGATCGAGAACTGTGTAAACTCCAAAATAAAGCACTGGGGGACAATGACGGGCACGCATGTCGAGCTTGCTGTGGTGGCCGACTTTATGGAATCTGCCGTAAACCAGAGGTAGTGGGAAGTGGTATCGAGACACACCACATCTGTACCGCGTACACTGCTGTCAACGTGTTGGGTTGGTTGTGTTGGAGCCCATCCTACTTGAGGCCTTGAGGCTCGCCCGAAAGTTATATTTTCTTGTGAATCTGCTGGTCTGCTGGTCTGCGTTTTGCTTAGTTTCCTCAAGCTCTCTTCTTGCAAAATATTGTATCTGACACAGAAAGCATTGCAGTGGCTTGGACAAGCACGTACTGCATTGTTTGGCACGAGGCGGGCCGAGATCGGGGCCTTGTCATGTGGTTCACAAACTCTAACCCCAAGGCTATCAGTAGGCTATCCCTCACAACGGGGCAACATCAGTAGGCTAGTGGCACCGCCACGGACAAGACACGCACGATGTGAACCCTGTATCCTACATCACAGCTTTTCTCTTCAATAGTGGCAAGAAGTGCCACAATCGGGTTTTGTGTCGATAGTGGCGAAATGCCTTTTTTCACAAAATCGGACGAACGGTAATGCCCTGAACAGTGGAATAGTTGTCGTCTGCCGGTAGGTGCCACTGTATATCGGGCTGCTTGTTTTCATACAAGTAAATATGGGTGTGCGTATGGAATATACCTCTACAACACAATGCCTTTTTGCATGGAATATTTTCCAGGAGACTCCGGGGAGGACAGTCAGGAGAAGGACGATGACTATCATCGTGAGAAGCAGGGTTCCGAATACCTGGTGAGCGGCGAGGCGCTGTCGAGCTTCGAGAGGGAAGTGAGGACTCTGAGGACCATGCAGGCCGAGGCTCTCGCCGGTTACTACGAGGTGAGACACGGAGGGAGACAGAGAAAGAGAGAGAGAGAGAGACAGACAGACAGACAGAGGGCTCGATGTAGAGATACCCCCATCACCATACTCTCTTTAGGCAAGGACTGGTTACATGTAGGTCGTTGGTGCAGTGCCCGTGGGGTGGAAGGACTCGTAACAAATGGCGCGTGTTGATGTAGATAAGAACTAGGACGATCCCACACATGGGCTGAGGGAAAGTTCAGGAGGGGATGAGGTATGAAAATCCGACCGGCGTACAAGCTTCCTCTTCCTCCCCTTGTCGGAAAGCTGCGAGTGGTCTGTGGGGTAAGGACAGCGGATGATGACCAGCTTCTGGTTCATCCTCGTGAACCGTAGCCTGGTTCTGAGAAAACCCGTTATATCGCTCCGTCCGGGCATGGAGGTCAATGGTCTAACGACCACGGCATGCTTATATGAGTACCTCTCCCCCCCGTGTGTGTCGTCGTGTGTATCCGGTCGTCGAGTAGCTGCGCGACAAGGCCCGCGAGGCCGTCCTCCGTATGGATCTCTCGGCCAACGAGGCGTTCCTACTGTGCAAGAACTTCCACGAAAAGGGCTGGGTGCAAGTCGGAGTCGGAGACGGGGAAGTAGGGGGGGGGGGATACGCCGGCGGGGGTCCCGCAGCTGGTGCTGGTGAAGGTAGGGATACCCGCTTATCGGTTCCTCCCGTCGTCTGTTGTTGTTGTTGTTGTTGTTGTTGTTGTTGTTGTTGTTGTTGTTGTTGTCTTCACATTAACCATCGTTCTGGTCTCTACTCAGGAACACCTTTTATTATCCGTACTGGCCCAACTGGCTCGGGCGCCTTCCGTGGTCACAGCAGTGTATGCACTGCTTTATGCTGTGTGCTGCATGGCGTATGCCTTGTGATGTGGGGGGGGCGTGAGTATCTCGGGGGGTACCATGAATTCCGAGAGGGAAGACGCGGCGTAGCTGGATTGTTTTCGCTCGTGAGGTTTACAGCGTTGTGTTGAGGTGCATTGTTCTCTTGATGTTCATACGTTGATGTGGTGTATGGGTACGCTAAATTTGCGAACCGTAGGCACATGATGAAACTGACGACAAATCACGTCCTCCTCGTCCCTGCAACGTTGCCTCCTTCTGCGTGACGTTTGATGGTGATGGTGTGCAGTGCTAGACGAAGATGCGCTGGACTACGCATGTGCCCTCCTGTGCAGGCCCGGGACCACCCACGTTCACGTGAGAGAGCCTCAACCTTCTGTTGATGGAGGCGATGACGCGATGTGGTACCAGTTGCATGCTAGATGATCGTGCGTTTTGACTATGGCACGTGCCAGCTCATGGCGGCGATGTATTGTTGTAGTGTTTTCTTGTCAACAACAACATTCCTGTGGCAGTTGTAAGCCGACGAACGCTGGGACAAATATCTCTTTTCAAATCTAACGTCACTCTTGTCAACCCAACGTGACTCTTGACCACCTTGTCTGTGCCTCATAAAAGTAGGTTCTGCTTTATAAAGCTCTCGTTCCGCAGCTCTCCTACGACGCATACGTGATTGGGCTGCTCTCTCCCAAAACACATGAAAGGAGAAAGCTTTTTTTTTTCGGCCCCCGTGAAATCCTCCCCCCCCCGGTGTTTGCCCCTCCCGGTGTTTGCCATCGGGGTTGGGTTTTCGTCGCTTGGCAACGACGTTGTAAAACAAGCCGCCCCCCCCGGTGTTTGCCATCGGGGTTGGGTTTTCGTCGCTTGGCAACGACGTTGTAAAACAAGCCGCCCCCCCCGGTGTTTGCCATCGGGGTTGGGTTTTCGTCGCTTGGCAACGACGTTGTAAAACAAGCCAATTCACTTCGTGAACTCGGCAACCAGGTTACCGTTTTTTTTTTTTACCTCCGTTTTTTTTTTTGGCGGTAACCATAATGGTGGTCGAGTAGATCATGTTGTGCGGGGTGGAGAACCCTCACTCCGCGCAAGGGGGATGATCGCACCACGTTGTGTTAAAATGGTCAAGCACCCTCGAGGCAGTTACACAGTGCTTACAACTGTCTCAGGAAGTGAAAGCACCAGAAAGTAAATTAAGTCATACGCAGCTGTCATCCGTACGCAAGGAAGTAAGCACAAGATGCCGAAAACCCTTAGCAGGATGCAGCGCACCCTTCATGCGACTCGCCGAATATCTCACGGCGCTTCGCGCTTGGTGATGTGAGAGCCTGGTCCGGTGAGAACCCGGCGTGCTCCGTCCCGGCTTTGTAGGGATGCGAGGTCAATGGTCTAACGACTACGGCATGCACGACCATGAGTATGAGTACCCGCCCCCCCCCGTTCCCCCGTGAAATGCCACCGACTACTCTATGTGTTGCACGCCTTATTCTTCCCGGCCTTGGTTGCAATCCAACAGGTGTCCCGCTCACGCACGCAGCACCTGTACATGGCCTGGTCCGCCCTCAAGCTGGCGCAAGAGCAGCGGAGGTCGGCCATCAAGAACGCACAGGTAGGTGCAGAGTGGCTGGCTTGACTGCATGTACGCATGTATGCTCACGGGCAGGTGCACGCTATCACGTGGACTTCCTAGCGTCGAGTCCTGTTGTTGGTCCTATCCTGATCAACACGTCCCGCTTTCGGGGGGGGGNCCGGGACGGAGCACGCCGGGTTCTCACCGGACCAGGCTCTCACATCACCAAGCGCGAAGCGCCGTGAGATATTCGGCTTTCGGGGGGGGGCGGAGCACAAGTAGGTGATATCATCGCTAGGTTCCAGAGGTGTTTTATTGCCCCGCTCCTCCCGAGCACAAAACACCAGTACTCGAACACTGGCAGCACCTTCCCAACCGACAACGACACAGAGTTTTGGGGAAAGCCAACGCTACGGCCACGTTCGACTTCCCCCCACTCCCCACTCTCATGCACAAAGAACTCCCCTGATAATATAATAATTCAGTGTTTGGCTCAAATTAGACTCACTTCCAGCCTAGTGTGTCGTCGGCTTTTCTCCCACTCTGCAAAGACTTCAACGCACCCTCTTAGACTCCTGGGGGAATATCTCGAACGGGTACTTTGCAGCCTCTATATTTGATGATATGCAGCGTTTTCAATTAACATGAAAGAATACTTGTCAACACACATTCTCGTCCCCTATCCCCTGTTCCCTGTCCCCTGTCCCCTGTCCCCTGTCCTCGGTCTTGCCACGAACAGGCACTAGTGGAGAGGGCCCACCGCGAGTACGTGGCGGCGTCCGTGCCCCCCGCGGTGGCCGCGGCGGTGGCGGAGCTGGAAAAACAGCGGAGGGAAGGATCCACGGAGCCCCCGCCGCCGGCCTACGAGGCGTTCCTGGAGGGGCTCTCGGAGGACTATCCCCCTCTGTCCAAGAGTATCCTCGAGGCCTTCGAAGGTGGGGACCCTGCCTGTTTTTTCATTTTTTTTATTTTTGAAAGTTTTGGTTGGATGAAAACACATGAACGCGTTCATGCATGCGTGCAAGCAAACCTGGGTGTTTTTTGAGGGGTGGAGATAGGATGCTGTGTAACTTTTTGCAGGGAAAACATGGGAATACTCGCACCACCTTGGCCCTTTGTCTCAAGGGCATCCATCCTACACACCACAGTGTTGTTAACAATTTGACTTTCGCTGCTGCTGTCGGCAGCTTTTTTTCCCTTGCCCAAGTCTTCTTTCCTTGCCTGACCTCTCTCTCTCCCCCCCAACCCGCGATAGGTTAGGGAAAAACAGTTTTGAGCCACCTGTGGCACAGTAGAAAGAAACGTTTGGCCATCGATGATCGGTCTTATGGGAACAACGCTCCGTACTTTCGAGGACGCGTGGTCAACCGTCAATCAACTATGGCATGCGAAACATGAGTCATGGGTACATTTTTTTGGCGCTGCTGCCTCTCTCAATACGCCCAAATCCCCATCCATCCTATCGAGGAAGCGTGGTCAACGGCCTAACATCTACGGCACGCAAAACATGAGTACGCCCCCCCCCCCCCAAACCAATATTCTGCACCATGGAAATCAGGTGGATGGAACAGTCGAGCTGGGCATACGGCGAAGACACAGCCTCGCGTTTGAGTCGCGAGGTAGGGGGGGGGGGCAGTTGTCCAAGCCTNCTGGCCGCCGTCTCCCGGGCGGGCGAGGGCATCGAGGCCAACCGGGCCACCCTCCGGGAGGCAGGCGGGGGCGCGGCCGCTAAGGGAAAGTGGGCGTCGGAGATTTCCACCTCTCCGGCCAATACACGTGGCCGCAAAAGCAGCGGCAGCAATGTCTCTCCGTCGTCGTCGAAGGCGGCGGAAGGCGGGGAGGGGGGG